CTAATAAGCTATCCACAGCCTCGAATGATGAACATATCAACATTGAACCACAAACACTAGTTAATGTGCCAATACGCAAAAACATGGTGATAAAGGATCAACAGATAAAGAACAACGAAGTGAAGGGAGACACAGAGAAGTCCCGGTTAATTGCCGGACAACAAGGATCCGAAACCTCACAAATTCAACTAAGACTAGTTTCATGTTTTGGAACTGCCAAGGAGCTGCAAGCCCGACCTTCAAAGAATTTTAATCTTTGTTAGAGAACACAGACCAAATATGGTTGCATTATTCGAAACAAGAACGAGTGGAACAAAAGCAGACAGAATAATCAATAAAAGGATTCACACAGTCACTTCGAGTAGAAGCACATGGATTTGGAGGTGGAATTTGGCTACTTTGGGAAGAAACAATGGAAATTGAGATTACCCATATATCAAATCAATTCATTAATGGTATATTTCGGCCTAAGGAAGTGAATACATGGGCAAAATTCACAGCAATTTATGCAAACCCAAACGGGTCTAAAAGGAAACATCTATGGAGCCAACTAGAGGCACTAGCACCAAACGATAATACACCTTGGATCTTGGGGGGAGATCTCAACGTGATATTAGACGTAGATGAAAGAAGAGGAGGTGCGACGACACACACAAATGGAAGCCGATTATTCGCCAATTTCATGCATTCTACTGGATTATTAGATTTAGGATTCCATGGTCCACCATTTACATGGAATCATGGGAACCTACAACAAAGACTAGATCGTTGCCTCGAAAACACAAAGTGGATTTTAACATTTCCAAATCACAGGTACTGCATCTAGATCGAATTGGTTCAGATCATCGACCCCTTCTCCTAAGGCTGACAACAGACAAACAAGATCATAAAAATCGACCATTCCGCTTCATAGCAGCATGGCAGGAACACCATGAGTTTAAAGACTTATCAAATCCATATGGAAAAAAACGGGGAACTAAACGAAAATATTAGCACATTCAAAACTGAAGTGGAAAAATGGAACTCAGACGTCTTTGGTCATATAGGAAAAAGGAAAAAAATCTTATTGGAAAAAAACTGAGAGGAATAGACAAAGCTCTACAACGAACACACTCAGAATTTCTGGTAGAGTTGGATAAACAATTACGGACAGAACTCGACACTGTACTAGACCAGGAGAGAGTCTGTGGAGACAAAAAGAACGGACAAAATGGATGGAAGGGATCGACACTGCATTCTATCATGCCTCAATATACAGAAGAAGAGCAAACAAAATCGAAACCTTAAAACGCGAAGATGGCAGTTGGAGTACTGATCAAGAACTTAGAGAAATGGCAAACCAATTTTATACCAAACTATTCTTAAGCAATGAGGATCCTAAATACAATTATGAAATAAGAGGCAAGTTCAAAAAAATAGAAGAGCATGAAAAAGAAAGCCTTACACGAGAAGTAACCAATGAGGAAATCAATGAAGCTATTTTTGGAATGGGACCACTTAAGGCACCTGGAATAGATGGAATCCATGCGTTATTTTATCAGAAAAATTGGAGCTTAGTTGGGAATTCAGTTTGCATGATGATCCGGAAAATATTCACAGAAGGAATAATGCCAGAATAACTCAATCAGACAATACTGATATTTTTACCAAAAGTAGCTAAACCAGAAAAAATGCACCAGTTCCGACCGATCAGCCTTTGTTCAGTGCTATAAAACAGTCACAAAAATCATAGTTAATCGTCTGAAGCCCTGTTACCAGAATGGATATCAGATAACCAAACCAGTTTTGTTCCGGGTAGAAGCACATTGATAATATCTAATAACCCAAGAGGTAATACATTCTATGAGAAGGAAATCTGGAAAAAAAGGCTGGATGGCAATAAAAATCGACTTGGAAAAAGCATATGATAGACTGGAATGGAGTTTCATAGATGATACATTACGAGACCTAGGCATCCCAGATGCTCTATGTAATCTTATTTACCACTGTGTTTCGACAGCTTCGACACAAATATTGTGGAATGGATCATTGACAGACGCTTTTAAACCATCAAGGGGGATAAGACAAGGCGACCCATTGTCCCCTTATAATTTCGTTCTATGTATGGAGAGACTATCACAAGAAATTAAAATAGAAATCGAAAAAGGATGATGGAAACCATTCCAAACATCAAGAAGCAGCCCAAAGATATCCCATCTATTTTTTGCAGATGACATGATTCTATTCGCAGAACTCCTTAGACCAGCTCAATATCATCAGAACAGTACTAGAAAGATCTGTGAAGTCTCGGGACACAAGGTAAGCATTGCAAAGACAACAATTTTCTTCTCTAATAATGTACAAACAGCACTGCGAATCAGATAAGCATCATTTGGATTTACTATGGTTGATGATCTAGGGAAATATTTAGGAGTTCCAATATTACACTCCGAGCCACCTTGAAATACTATTATTACTTGGTACAAATGGTCAAACTAAATTAAGCGGATGGAAGGCAAAACATTGTCACTAGCTGGTCGAATTACACTTGCAAAAGCTGTTTTGGCAGCCATCCCAACTTACACCATGCAGACCGCAGTATTACCCAAAAAATTTGTGAGAACTGGAAAAAATCATCAACAATTTGTATGGGTAAAATAGATGGAAGGAGGGTTGCCAGTAAAATGGGAGGAAGTATGCCAAAAAATATCGGATGGAGGTCTTGGATTTAGAAAGATAAAAGAGCAAAATGAAGCATTTATAATGAAAGTGACATTTAATCTAATAGCAAAAAAAGACGCATTGTGGGTTCGGGTTCTCAAGGCGAAATACAAATGCAAAGATGAGATACCGACTAACATTAGAAGCCAAAACTGCTCCAAACTATGGAAAGGATAAGCATGGTATGGGAGGATGTCCGAAGCAACATAACCAGAATAATAGGAAATGGGGTACATATCAATTTTTGGAGAGACCACTGGATTGCGAAATAGGGCCATTAATAAATTGGTCAATCAACGAGCCATAATCAGGTGGGAAAAGCAACCATAAAAAGCATGACTGATGAAAATGGTAATTGGAACTGGAGGCAAATTGAACACCTTCTACCACTGCATATACTTATGAGACTGGCAGCGATTAAAGGACCTCACACAACTGCAAAAAATGATAGAATTGGATGGTTAAAGAGAGAGGATCGTCAATTCTCTGTCAAAACAGCATATGAAGTTAGAATAAAACAAAGGGAAGATACTCAAGAACCTATATGGAAGGTAATTCACGCATACAAAGGAACACAAAAGCTGAAAACATTCCTATGGCTAGTTTGCAAAGGTAAAATTCTGACAAATGCAGAAAGAATTCGACGACATCTTACAATTGATGGTAATTGCCCAATCTGTGTGACACAAACAGAGGATATTAACCATATTTTTTCGACACTGCATTACAGTGACCCCTATTTGGACAACTGGTGAAAACGAGAGATTACAGAACTTCTTAACAATGGACATAAAATTGGGTTGAAGTGAATTAACAAGACCAAGCATGTTTGCTAATCCAACAGTTTGGCTACCTCCATCAGAGGGATGGAAAAAACTTAATACAGATGCAGCCCGTAGAAATACAGATGGAAAAGCAGCATGTGGAGGAGTAATCAGAGATTTGAATGGAAAATGGAGGATCGGCTTCAAAAAATTCATAGGAATATGTTCTACAATGGAAGCAGAATTATGGGGAGTATATACAGGGCTAAGATGTGCATGGGAACAAGGAATCCAACAACTCATAGTTGAAGTAGATAGCCTCGAAGCAATACAGACACTGAAGAATAGCACAAACAAAGAAGGAAATATTACCATAATACCGTACATAAGGGAACTGATAAACCGGGATTGGAACGTCAGATTGCAACATGTCCGAAGAGAAGGGAATAAAATTGCTGATAAACTAGCAAGAAGCGTCAATTTCGAAGATAGCCAAACCAGAATCTTACAGGAGCCTCTTGCTGATATAAGCCAACTCGTGATTGAAGAATGCAATTAGGTTTAAGTAATTAGGTAGTTTTCATTTTCTTACCAAAAAAAAATTAAATTCGTAAAAGAACGTGCTCGATCAATTATATTTTCCATATCCTTTGATAAAACTTATGTATATGTAACAATAAAAAAATATTATTTTAATAATTACTTGAGAATATATATTATTTTGATATTTAATTTTTACTGTGATAATTGAATAAATTATCCTAGCTTATTCCTTTATTCTTTCTCACTAAGCTCACAACACCCTTTGGATCACACCATTGCGATGGTGTTGCCGCGCCTCACCGTCTCTTCTTCGTTGATGCTTTTAGCACCAGTTGATAAAACGTGGATCAGCGAGGGAATGTTTCCTCTTTCACCCAATGCTAAGAATACTAGAGTTAGTCTTGCTCTTTGTTCGGCTTGTGGTTTAACTCAAGCTATGTTTGCTTAAATATTTGATAATAGATTGGATATAGATGGTTATACATAAAAATTCGTTTCAAATATCCGAACATTTCACGGAACAAGTAACGGACTTCACGATTATATCTACTCGATCGCACCATTGTGCAATCACAAGGATATATCCCCTGCAATTTGTTATAGTATCCAGAACTTCGTTTCTAAAAATCAGCCACAATCAAATGCAATCAAAACTATACAGCAGAGTTTCATTTTCAGAAAACGAAATTCCGGGAAAAAAAAAACTATCCAATCTAAACAATCTATCATAAACAAAATCGGAAGGGCATGTCTCATTGATACCTCAGTAGAGAACCAGGAAACTAGACATGTTGGTTTAAAGGTTAACTAAGGCGACGAGGAAAAAGAGAAACTATGCTTATTCACCAAAACAGCCCCAAGACAATGTCAGTCAATAATTGCATGCCTGCAACGATGTATCTCCTAGCAGACTATTCAGCTAAAAACTTATTGAGGTATAATTTATATTCATAATTTATGTTCTCAAACCTGTTGTTATGCCATTGAGCTTGGTTATTTTTTAGTAGCTTCACCAGGCCTACTGGTGGGTTGATTTAGCGGCTTCTCCACTGAAGGACCAGTTTGTGTTTCTTCATCGTCATCATCTTTACACAGCTCGAGCTGCAGTATGTGTATAAAACATCATTTGCAAATTGCAAGAAGACAAAGAAAGCGAATGACTAATCTTTAAAATTCGATAGAATAAACCAACCTTGTAACCACAGCCAGCTAGACAAGCACTATAGCATTCCTGCATAGAGGAAGAAAAATGAAATTACTAGTCATGGTTGTCCAAAAATAGCGTTTCTTTCATTATTTCTGATTATACATTCTCCATGTGATACAAAGTTCTATTCGTCATGCAACTTGCACACTGAATTCAAGTATATATCCCACATTCTGTTTGAATTCATTGCACTTCCGAAAACATTCCAAACCAGGGTCATCGTTAAACGGAGGCAGGCAGTGGCCTTGGACCCCCAAAATTGAAAAAATTATGCTTTAGTCCCTTCAGAAATTATAAAACCTTCAATTAATATAATGATAATATTGTATTTTGGCCCCTCCTAGAAAAATGATTCGGTTTTGTCCCCTCCAAAGAGATTTCTTGCTTCATCTCTTTTCCGAATATAATCAAGTGGCATCAATAGTTATCAACTCCTAAGTGACAAAAATGCGTCAAAGAAAGAATATTACCGTATTATCACCAAATTTTGTGTGCCTCAATCTGCCTATAAACAACAATCAATTGCAACCCTATAGGCTCTGAGTAACAGAAGGGGAGAATCGATTAACTTAAAAACGGCAATATAGTTTTCCTAGTACCAGTTTGGCATCGACTAAGTTGGCATAGCATCAGACTTCCAGAAGTTCATAAAAATAAAAGATTAGCTCTCATTCTATTAAACAAGTCAGCTCATGAAGAGGAGACATAAGCCAGCACATCACAATCTAATGGATCACCAAACAGCAGTTAAATCATATTAAGCATGGAAACTAGAAGCAAAAGACAAAATTCAGGGTTGGGGTAAAGGACTAAAAGATTAAATACCTCAGATTGTTTGACAGCTCCAGGAGAACGATCAATGTAAGAACTCCATTGCTGATCCTTTAATACAGGAGCCTTATAGCATAAATCGGTGCACTCTGATATACCTGAAAAGCCCACGATGCCTAGCACTTTTAGATATATAATCAGCTGCCAATGCATATATTACTTTGCTGCTGCATCTTAGTAACGTCCAGCTCTATGTCTATAAAGGTTGGTTAAAGAATTCTTCCATTGGTGAAATAATTCTAAACAGAATAATCCAGATGAAACTGAATGCATGACACATTAATCAATAATGAACAATCATTCTCAATAGCCTATAATAGCAGTGCTGTCTAGTGTATACTGTCACTGTAGCTTAGATCTGCTTTGTCTTTAACTTGCCTCATCTTTGCTTTAAGAAATGATGCTCAAACTATAATCTGAAACTCGCCTTAATGAGACCTTCTGAGAGTAATTCTTAGCAGATACGAATTAAGCATTTGAAAGCCGAACATGGAACTTCAAAACACTGATACTAAGTTGCTCGGACACATTTATATGGGGAAATGACCTCCAAGGATCCTCCTTAAACACAAAATCAGAAAAATCTAATGATAGCCATGTCGGATATACACCCGTATCCGACACACACATCGGATACCGAGTAACATTGCACTGATGTTTGAAAATTATTTTACTAAACAAAACCAAATCCAATGTAAGATGGAATTTTTCCTAGGAAACAGCTTAGAAATTTCAAGCATTACAGAAACAAAAATGCTTACATTCTTCCCACGTATCAGCATCGTTGTCACACCCTTTTTTGCAGAACACTCTCCCTACAAGAAACTCAGCATAGTTAGTAGGGTGAATGGACAACTGACACACAATAGATCTAAGTAAACTAAAAATCAAATATGTTGCAGCTCTATGAATATAATTTCATAATTCAATAATAGGTGAATTACAATCAATACATCAGAACGACTACAACCCCAAATCAATTGTTACAATGCATGATCAGGCTTATAATCGGAATATGGCAAGCATAGGTTAATCAATCAAAGTATTATTGACATCTCATTGAAATTAATAGACAATTCATCGTACTATATACACATCATACAATCATCACATTATCATTAATTAACACCGAAATTAAAGAACACGCATACATTAATTTAATAAAACCAACAGATTCCAGAACTAAAATACAACCAATTCCAAAACTAAGTTAATTAAAAATAAAGTAATAATCAAATAAATAAATCTATTTTAGCGGATATTGAAAAACTCGTATAATTTAAAAGGAGACAATGAAAAAAGAGGAATTTTACAAGGAATTTCTGTAAGACTGGTGTATTTCTTAGTGCAATGATTTCCACATTGCGAAGCCCATTGTTGTGGTAGCATTTTTTTTTACCTTGCTTGCTTTCTTTTCTCCGTATCCAAACACGGCGTCTCCGGTGATACAAATTATAACTGTTTTTTTGTTATAGAGAAAGGCAGTAATTAGCGACAGTTGGTTTTTTTTCGTGGCAAAAACGATGTGTTTTCTGTTAGCCTCTGGCTTATCACCACGTAATCTAATATTTAAACTATTATTAAATAATTTTTTTAATAATAATAATAACAAGTGTTTAGGATAATGGGTAAAATCAAGTTATAAGCTAAAATGTAGCACATCCACGAGTTGTTTTTGCTTTATATTGAAATTTAGGGAATTTTAAGGATTTTGTAGATTATTTTTAGTAGTAATTGATAGTTTATATATACATATAATCTAATTTTTAATTCACAGAAAAAATCAATTTATTTTCTTTAAAAAAATTAGGTCAATATGGCCTTAATAAAAGATTTAATGTTAAAATTTACATTTAATATTGAATAAAATAATTACTTTAGTTCTTATATGTTTTAAGTACGTTGATTTTAACATTTTATTTCGAGATAAAATATATCATGATTGAATAAAAATCAGTAATTAGAAATGACCGTCCAGCTCAGTTGGTAGAGCGTAAGGTTCTTAACTTTGAGGTCGTGTGATCGAGTCCCACGGAGGGCATTTTATAATTTGGAGGTCTCCCACGGAAGCTGCTCTCAACCTAACGTTGGGGGCAGCCTACTATCCTACCTCCCCGTTACCCCATTACATATGGGAATAAGGGTCAGCTAATTTATAAAAATCAGTAATTAACTAATAATCAATGTATGTTATTGATGTTGTACGTGTCCAAAGTGATATCGTAATATATGTTAGATCTTAAAAAGTAATGACATGACACATGTCAAATATAAAAAATAATAATGTGATACATGTCACGTACTGAAAAAACGATAGTGTAATACATATCACGTGTTGGAAGAGATGATATGACATATTTCATGTGCCACATACCACGAATTGAAAGTGATATTGTGGCATATGATTTATATCGAATGTGATGGTATAACACATATCATGTGTCAAGAGTGGTAATATGACAGTCTTGCATCAAAAAACGTTTATCATTAGTTAACTAACAATTTTCATCTAAATATAAATCAGTTTGTCCTAAAATGAAACGTTAATGTAACACCCCCAACCCGTATCCGACCCGAATACGAGTCTAAGGTGTCACATTGACTTTTCAAAACTTGTCTTTTATAAAAATCATGAAAATCTAAACTTTCATTAAATAAAATTCGATATTTTACATAAATTAAACTATTTGGTTTTACAAAACCTATCAGAGCATATCCAACTCAATCTATTAGTACATGCCAACTATATTCAAAATAATAAAATACATCTAAAACATCTTTTTTCTGATATGAACTTTGTAAGAGAGATGTTGACCTGACCTACTCCTCTTAGCTTCTCTTCTCTCTTTCCGGAACCTACGTGTGAAACACTCACACGCTAAGTTGATGACTTAGTGAGGCATGAAACATATAATAGAACTCTAACTATATATATCATTTCCATACTAATTCCTAATATGCACATTTCATATATTTATTCTAAATTATCTAACACATTATTCATCAATACATAAATGCATATATATCACTTTCATACCAACTCATATATTCTTTTATGAAACATTTACCCATATGCACATATATCATTGTTTACGTTAATCCCTTTATCATCTTATTATCATACTTTCACATACGTACACATCATATTACCAAACAAACATATAGCATCACATAGCATTTTCTCATATTATAATTTTTTTTCTTTATTGGCCCATGTACACATTTGAGAACTATAGATATGTGAGTCTATAGAGGTTGTGCACTAATGCTGTCACTAGAGCTCGTATAAATGCACTGAAGTGCCACGTAGAATTGCACCAAAGTGCCATATAAAATGTCCATAAGGACCACATAGAAATTCCTTAAGAATCTTATACATATCCTAAGGACCAAGTATGTGTCTCATAGGACCTCATAGATGTTCCAAAGGATACATATATGTCTTGAATGATCGCGTAGACCCTCGACTCTTGGCATGCCAACTATACCTCTAACTCTCTTGACGCATAACATGGGCATTATCATTTATAATAATTCATGTCACTTATTTTACTTAGTATATAAACATATTAATCATGTAGCTTATGTTACATATTCTCGTAAAGTCCCATATAACCACATATATCTCATCTATAACATATAGTTTATGTTTTATTCTCTATATTCTCATATTCATAAAATCACATAATTTATTATCTCGTAGATCATGTCACATTTACATACGATTATTATCATATATTGATATCACATTTTTACTTAGTCACATAGATAATGTTACATAGCATTTAAATCAAGCAGTTCATATTACATAGCTTATATATTGTTCTTATATCTTTTTATAGACATATAACACCTAGATCATAATTCCCTAATTTATATTACATGTTCATATAATCATTTATATCCATATCACCTAGCTCATATTTTGTTCTCTTATGTTCACATATATCATATAACATATATTGTAGCATACTAACATATATCACTTATATAACTTCATTTATATACCAATTTCTTATATTCCCTTAGTTCAAGTTCACATTACTCTCGTAACCTTTTCCTATGACTTCATAGATCTTTACTATGTAATTCATATATCATAGTTCATCTAAGCACATTACTCTTTCTCATATAGCTTGTCTCACATATGATTATCATTATTTATGTACAAGTCTCCTAATTGATATATTATTCTCATATTGTCCTATAGATCAATTTTAGTTAGTTTATCTCACTTTGCATTTAATATTATAAGTAGATTATATTAGTTTCCATAAATTTAACTCATGTAATTTATGTTTTGTTATTATATCTTCATCTAGACATATATTTACATGTTCATAATCACTTAACTTATCTCCTTTCTATGGTTATCACATACAACATTTTACTATCATACATAGTTTGTGATCTTATAACTTATTTTACATACTCATACAGCTCATATAACTATATAAGGTTCACACATAGTTACACATATATCGTTTCCATGTAGCCCATATCATATAAATTCACACTACATAACAAATAATATGAACAGAGCATATTCACATAATACAAACATAATCATACTTCTACTCATGCAATCATATATAAAAATATTAGAAACAGACTTATCACAACTCTAATTTCCATATCATAATATGCACCTTCTAATAATATGAACTCACCTTAGCCTCACTAATTTACAAATCCACCTTTATGATTTCCTTTCTTTTGATTGAATCTTAAATTGATGATCGTTCCTGAACTTGTTTAGGCTCAGCCTCTACATAAATATGATTTTCAAGACGATTATCAGAAGCCTAAACCTTATAATTCGATGCTAATAACTTAAACTAATTTAATGAACCATAATTCATTTTTCCCTTTAGGAGTGTATTGGTGCACACTATAGTGTATCGATGCATTCCTTAACGAGTGTATCAATACACTACCTATGTATCGATGCACAAATTACATTCGAAGTTTTCATTTTTAAGGGGTGTATCGATACACTTACTGTGCATTGGTACACTTTGAACATTTTCTGGAATTTTACCCTTTATTTATCAGTGCATGTTGAATGTGTACCGATACACACCAGTCCAGAATTCAAATTTAAGCCCGAAAATCACTTCAGTTTTACTTAAACACTTCATATTTCATCCTCTATCATATTCTTAACTCTCATATACATATTAAAACTCATTTCTACTTGTTTATTACATCTTAAATCTCAAAATCATATTCTCTACATGAACTTCAAGAATCATGCCAATTTTTCCACTTGTTATAAATCCAATTCTATCACTTCCTATCTCTTAATTAGATTGATGACAAGTCAAATTCAACTTCCAATTCTAATTATGAACTCTATTTCAAGATTTCATTCAAGAACTCCTAATTTTTAATCCCTCTTAACTCCATCGTCTTTTGATTTTAAGAAAACTTAAGCTTTCCTTAAGCTTAGTTATCATCTAATGATCATAAACCAACCTTTAATTTAGCAAATAATCAACTAACCAAGAAACTCATATTTGCTATTGACGCTCACGGCTGGAGAAGAAGAAAACTATAGAGAAATCTCTCATTTTCCACGTGGTTCCCTTATCTTATAAAGGAAAATAAAAATATTCCTTGTCAAATGACCATTTTACCCTTATTACTTTCAAACTTTATTATTAAATCCAACATCCAAATTTTCCATTTAAATCCATTAACTTTCAATCTTTTCTGAGATTGGTCACTAAATTTTCAAAAATTCTATTTTGGTCATTGACCCCACTTTTGGGATGCTACAGTTAAGGTCAAAGTAATCTAAAAACATGAGTCAAAATGTTTATTCAATTAAACATTAATGATATTTTTTATATTATACCTAAATAAGAATGAAAAAACCTATCGTTCGTATGTCATTTCGGTAGGACTCAAACTAAGAAGATTGTGAAGTTAGGGTTTTAGTTAAGGATGAGTATTAGTCAAATTAGATTTTTAATCAATTCAATTTTAATTTAAACATTTTATTCTTTTACTCGTAAATTGATTTGACATATATTGAAGGATGTTCAATCAAATTCAAAATGTAACTCAATTTTTTAAGATATAAATTCAATCTTGACCTAATATAAATCTATATAATAATATTTTTATTAGATAAAATAATGATTTAATTTAGTGTGTATATATATATATTATTACAATTATTTTTAAATATATAAAAATAATTATATTATTTGATAGGTCAACGAGTTTTGATACACATAGTTAGGATTAAAATTTTGAGTTTGTAAGATCAAAATTCAAATCTGAACCCCGTCACTATGATAAATAATCTATAAATTCTTATATAAATCTCAATTACGGTATATTCGGGAGATTTTTCCCGAAAAATCACTTTTTGATTAAAT